CCGCACTGTGACACACTAACCACTAGCTCACCGGGTTGCCCTAAAAGTTAAGTATGTTCTTTGCACATGCCTTGACCAAGAATTACTGCGGCCACAATGCAGGGTACCAACCACTACACCAGTGTTTTTCAAACACCAGTGTTTTTCAAACCCACACTGATGTGCTGCGAGACATTGTCATGTGTGCCGTGGTAAAATATCCAATTTGTATGCCTGTGCGGTCTATCGCCCAGAAAGTAATTGTTTGTTTGTTTGTTTGTTTGTTTGTTTGTTTGTTTGTTTATTGAACATAAAGCATATACAGTAATAATTTGACAGAAAATAAGGTAAATAAAAGAGTAAAGAGGAAAGAGAAATTAGTCATCATTCAACACAGTTATTATGTTCAAGGGAGTAGGAAGATGTAAAGAACTTATCTAGTCCTACCCCGTGTTATATGTTTATATCTATTGAATCATTTTTATATCAATCAGAAAAGAAACAAAGTAAGAAGAAAGAAGTTTCCATTAAGGCTCATACTTTACCCTTAACCGTGATATTTTTATACTTTTGGTTTGTATCGGGAATTTATACATACACACCCTGGCACTCTTGTGTTAATTTTCTCTTGTATTCATAATGCATATTTCAATACCTTTCTCTCTTTATCAACCTAGTTCTGCTACATGCTAATCATGTAGTACCCTCCCATACCGCTAGGGAGCAGCAACAGCTAGCCAATTGCCTTGTGTTTCGACCACTAGAGACAAGCGTGTGCCGCATGAATGCAAGACGACAGTGAAACAATAAATATGAAAGATTATAAAACATTTTTTCTTTGTGTTCATTTGATTCCAATTCAAGCTGTTGTAAAGTCATTCTTCAATGTTAAAAATGGTTATAGTAACAATGTAACGTTAAGCGTTTTTTTCACATTTTCAGCTAGTGGTGTGCCGCGAGATTTTTTTCAATGAAAGAAGTGTGTCTTGGCTCAAAAAAGTTTGAAAAACACTGCACTAAACGATCACAGCCTCATTCTATTTCAGCAAAGCTTTAAATGATCTGTTTCATGGCTCCAACATGGGTCTCTCTTATGCCCCACTGACAGTTGTCCTATCTGCACTGTTATCATGTATCTCCTTGTAAAGCAACTGTTTCCTGACTACATGGTTGAAAATTCTATTTATATATCCTGTATTATCACGCAGGTAAAGAGGTAACAGATACTTAAGTCACAATCAGTCAAGACAAGATATAAATAGCAGCATTTAAAACGTTTGTTTTCAATCTCAAGTTTATTTTTTACAGGAACAACAACAATCTTAAAAAGCACCAGTGTCAGCTGTTGGGTGATTTAATTTTCAGAGGTGGCAGTAAGGCATACAAGTACATCTGTTGAAAGTCCCAAGTCAAGTCTGTATATTTTTTTCATACTGTTTATTTGAGTGGCACACTGTTAATGTGGTGATAAATACTTTAATATGCTGAATGTGGGAGTAAACATGTGTAATCATCAAATTTTAAAACTACACATATTGTTGCGGTTGCCACTCTGTTGCCCAGATCTAATTTGTGTGTGTAGACATATGAATGAAAGGCATTCACTTTGTGGACTTTGTTGGTTGACCTTTTTGAAGGTGAGTGAATTTCACATGCATTAGTTTACACCGCTGTTTTAAACTGAAAACTTTCCAAGATTGCAGTGTCTATGGTGTGTAATATATTGTTTTCTTGGCTTCTCAATTAAATGCAGAACCGACATGAAGTATTTGACCAGTGATTGGTGAACTAAACTGTCGAGCTAGCATAGCTACCTTAAGTTCACAAAGCTCTCATGCGTTAGACAGATGAATGGAAATATTGTCGTTTGAAGATGGTGTTGTCTTTTGTTTTCGAGATTCAAACCTAGCTGTTGTCTTTTTACGGGTTTCATCAAAACAATCATCCCTGAATCCCAACACGTCTCCACACCTCTTCCTCTCCACAGTTGGCTGCTAGCAACATATCGCTTCACTTTTTTTTTACATTTCGACATTGACGTATGTAATTCGTTGCATAGGAGCTACTTTCACTTGACTTTGTTATTAAATAGAGGGCACGGGGGAGAATGGGGATGACTATGCGAACACAAACGTCACAGTCAAAACAAACTGTTCGGTCAGTTTGCACAAGCCATCCCATATTGAGTTGCATTACTTCGCTATAATTAAATGTTCACAATCAAATCTTTGCTGCTCCCAAATCAATGTTGACATTGCTAGCTACACTGTGACTTAGCTTACCGATCTGTGGGTTTTGTAATGATGGATGATGTTAGGTGTTGTGGTTATGTACTCATTATGTGTGGTGCTAACCATGCGTTTTGCCATCCTATTTTTGCAGTCATCAACAAAATAATCCATCCAACCAACCATTTTCGAATCCGCTTATTCTCACAAGGGTCACGGGTGTGCTGGAACCCATCACAGCTGTCTTTGGGCAATAGGTGGGGTACACCCTGAACTGGTTTGCCAGCCAATCGCAGAGGGCGCACACTCACACCAAAGGACAATTTAGAATGCTCAATCAGCCTGTCATGCATGTTTTTGGAAATGTGGGAGGAAACCGGAATACCCGGAGAAAACCCACAGGGAGAACATGCAAACTCCATACAGGAAGGCCGCAGCCGGAACCGAACCCTGCACCTCTGCACTGCGAAGCTGACGTGCTAACGAGTTGAACACCGTGCTGACCTAAATAATCCATTAATTCAAATTAATGATCCTCTGAGTTTCTTCCATTTCTGTTGAGGTCGTACACCAACAAGTGACGCTGACTGGGTTGTCAGTTTGGCCTGAAACAAAAACCCTCAAGTTTCTTTCTGTCTTGCTTTCCTTCCTAAAAAGGCAAACTGCGTTAAAATGTAAATTTCAAACTATAAACAAGGTGACTTGTAAAGTCATGTAGTTCAAGTCGAGTTAATTCAATACCAAATCCCAAGTCAAGTCATTCTCAAGTTTTTGGCAAGCGAGTCGCCAGTCCTAAATATAGCACCTCGAGTCTGACTCGAGTCAAGTCAATTGACATAAGTTCCCCATCTCTGGTCAGTTTACATTACACTGTCACTCTTGGACATCAGTGCCGTCAATCAGTAGAAGTCCCCATGTCACTCAGAATGAGGTCGTGGACAGCTCAGACACAACCTTGCTCACATCACATTTCCACTATTCCTGTCTGGCTGCAATTACAGTTTTGTGCTACTTTAACTTGGAAAAAAAAAACGTAATGAAAAAAATAATAAATACTGTTTTGACGCAAAATAGATGAGGTAGGTGGTGATGTATGTTTGGGAGGGATTCAAGGCGCTCCCTTCTAGCTTCATTACTTGTAATTTAAAAACCCTGAGGCCTATGCAATGAAGGACCCTGCACGGGCTAATGGCACGTGAGTGTTGGGAGCCCTAATGGGGACCAGTCATGGAATGCCTTCCTTTCTTGAATAGCAAACTGCTTTCTGCTCGATTTGGATGCACATCCTGTAACGCAGATGAGCTGAGTGTTTGACTGTGAAACAAGACGTCTTATAACGCTTTGTGGCACCACCTTCCTTGTTCAGCATACAAAGACACATCTGTAGTACATTACTCCAAATGTACATGAGAAAGTCCTCACTGTACCACTAATTTAGAGACTCATTGGAGGGCTGACATTATTGAGACAATATATTAGATCACAAAAGTGAACAAAAGGCATGTGCATGCTTTAAGAAAGACTCAGGCATAATGAGCTCAGGCCAGTATAATGTGATATGCTAAGAGATGATGAATGGATTTAACGTGTTTCCTAATTACTATGTTACCAATAGAGTAGATAGTGGGAGTGTTTATTGAATGGGATTTGGTTGAATGTGGTTCTGTGCACACAGAAGAACTGCATAATTACATCTTTATCATTGTTCTAATGTGCTTCAACTACAATACAGAGGTTCTCTTGGCATTGTATTTTATATAAAGTACCAATCAAAGGTTTGGAAACACCCTCAAATCCAGTGTTGTTTCATTATTTAAAATAATTCCTTTGTCTTCAATCCATACTTCATCATACAAGTAATATTGATGGAATTCTTTGGTAAACCAACAAATGTTTGATAATTATTTGAGGTAGGCACCGTTTGTTGTGTTTATTCTTAATATATTACGGGTTGTAGTACAAAAGTTTAAATGACTGGGAGAGATCAACATATGTGTTTCACTGTTGTACACTGCAATGGCAATAGTGATTGATCACGGTGTTAAATTGTAGTTGTACTGGAAGGGTTACATTTGTCATCTATAGTAAACTTGAACAAGGCTTTTATGTAACGATACCGTTGCCTACATCTACGCAATTCACATTGATTCTCTGAAGAGAATCAGTGGCTAAACTATTCTGCCTCAAAAATGAAGGGAGCACTTAAACAGCGTATGTAACTCCAAGTGTTCCATTTATTTTTGAGCAGTTTACATGTGCATTGTTAAATAATTTCTATGTCATAAAGCTCGGTGTGATTTCCATAAAAATGATCCTGTTTCGGGTCGAACTACGCGCCCCGCGAATGACGTAAACTGAACCCAAACGAAGCATTCCCATTGGTGCACACTTCTAAATGAATGACGTATGACGCTGACGTCTTCGACCAAATGTTGCATCTCGGCTCTGGTTTGAATTATCGGTTCAGCCGTGTGTGGTTTTACATGAATGAAAAGAGTCATCTACACGTGCACGTTTTATGCGGTCACTAGACTGCATCAAGCCATTTATGTGCCAAACATTCGTCGCGCGTTGGAGAAAAAGCAATGAAGCAATAACGCCTTCATTTAAGTGTAGAAGGAATCAGAAATACGCTTTTACGCACGTGTGCTCTCTCAGTCTGCGTGCAAAAAATGGCATAGCCCACAAACTTGAAACATATCAACCTATACGGACTGAAATATTCTCATTTAATACGAAATAACTGCCGACGCGCGGCAGACTTGACTGAGAGTCTGTGGTGATGCCACCTACCTTGAGGCAGCCGACGTCTGCTCACTGGTCCTCGGTAGAAAGATGCGGTCAACACCGCTGCTTGCGGTACAGCTCCAGTGTGAGGGAAAGTTTCGATTGTTAGATTGTCGATGTTTCACAGGGCACTTGCGTGTCTGCCATGAAGCCTCTCAATGTGATGATATAAAAAAAAAGTCGACGAAAGAAAAAAAAGTAACAGTGGCGTTTCCTCAGACGTCGATGCTCAAGAAAAATGACCAATTTGTTCTTGTGCCTCACTATCATGGCACCACATGCCTCTTGTATAAATAAATCTGTCAGTCAACTTCGGCATGAATGTAAAAAGGTATGCCCAAAAAAAATGACGGAATGAAAATGATAAATATTATTCTCCATCAACGTGTTCATGCACGGTTGAAAAACCTTTTTAAAAAGTGGCCATCAGCTTTGACAGCGTCACATAAAAAAAATTCAGCAATCATTCTAGAACTCAAAGTTGTACTTGTGAGTCTTTTGGGGCATTAATGTGAGGATAGCCTGCCCCAGCATCCAAGTCTCACAAAGAAGAGAGGTGGCCACAAGTCATTGCTGCTGTTTCAGCTGTCCCAAAGCCCCTTTACCGGCTTGCACCAGGTTGGCGTGTTGTTTTAATAGGAGGGGGAGTTTTGGGGAGTTGTGGCTGGGGTTGGGGGTTGGGGTGATGACGAGCAGGATGAGGAGGAGAGGAAAGAGAGGCGGGGGTGATGGGGGACCCAGACATTCAAGCTCAGAGGAAAAGAGGAGGGGTGTCTGCGTCTCCATCAGAGTGGAGCAGGACAGTGACTTCGTAGTTTTTTTCTTCTTTGAATGATTCACTTAATAATAAATGGTATGTATTCTGACGGTGTCCAAATGCGATTATCGAGTTTCAGTCTGATGGATTATACAGTATAGTACTTGGCATTAAAATTGATGCTTGAGATGACAGACTTTGTTAAATGTTCAGAAGTACTACACGGACCACCAGCTGGATGGGGGGATGAAACAGTACAGTCATCTGGGTAAGAAATGCAGCTGGAGTTGTGCAGCTGCAATAGGGCTCTTTTGCTGGTGCAGTTACAAGATTCGATCAGCAGGCAGTGCTGAAATACGCTCCCTTGATGGCAAGACTCAGTCATAAAACAGCTTACTGTAACTGGGAGGCAGTCACTGATGCTATAGTTTGGGACGTTTATCAAGCAAAAGACAACAACAACAATGGTGTAATATTTGAACACAATTGAGATAGAAATTATGTGGGTTCAATAAGATGACTACATGAACTAAACAATTTGACGCTGAAGCCAATGTGAAAGTTGAAGCAAAAATTGATATATTTAAAACTACAACCAAATCACTTTTAACAATTATGATTAGCGTTAGTTTTTGTTTGGTGTCAAACTGCACCCTATCAAGCTGACAGTTTGTCCTAATATTTTGGTCCTTGACTTGCTAAGGTTGATGAACATGTTGCATGATAGATTTCAAGCTGGGTTAGCATGGTGAAATGGTTAGCATATCTGCTTCTGATCTTCTGGGTTTGTTTTTAGTATCTGGCCTTCTGTTCTCCCCAGTACTTGCACTTTTTTCCTGGTGATTTGTTATTTGTCCATCTGTAGTTATTTGTCTACATGGCCAGGGATGATGTATTGCCTCACTCATTTTTATGACTTAATGTCCTGAGTGTTGGACACTCATGGGCTGATTGGATGAACTGAGAGACAGCTATTATGTCTCTCTCTGTCTCTCTGTCTCTCTCTCTCTTTCTCTCTCTCTCTTTCTCTCTCCTTTTCTACTCTCTAACTCAACCAGCCATGGCAGACGGCTGCCCACGTTGAGTCGGCTCGACGTTTCTTCCCATCAGTGAATGTTACCTTGCCTCTTTTGCCAAATGTTCGCTCGTGGTTTTCAGTTGGTGCTCAGTTAGTCTTGAAATAAGTGAGAAGTGTGACATTTGACCTGCTCCATGTGTAAAGTGCCCTGAGGTAACGAATGCTGTTTGAAGATGAATTCTGATGAACTACCCCTGCGCAATCAATAGAGGTCTTTCTTGGGTCGGTCCTGATGAGAGCACAAAGATAACGACAAATAGTCTTTATGAGTGTACCCAGGGATTCTTTCAAAGTTCTTGACATTTTTCTGAGTGACTGGCCTTCATTTTTGAAATTAATGATGGACTGTTATTCTTCTTGGATTAGTTTTGTGTCCCCCCCCGCCCCC